GAAAACTATTCTTCTTAAGAAAAGGTAATGATCCTAATTGAAATACATTACCTGATAGCTCCAGCTGCTGCTTTGTGAAAATATGGATGAGAATGCAATCGATCTTGAAACCTAAGCATGTCCACATATGCCCGCAGAGTCATTTTCCTTAAGCAATATGAGTGGAAATCAAATTGGTCTTCTGTAATATCAGCATAGTGCTTCTCCACAGCCAAAAATTTCTTCAAGGCTCGTCCAAGATCACCTTGACGGAGGTAACTTTCACCAGAAGCAAGTTCATACCTTCCAAAATACAGTATTTTAATACAATTAGCAAGTGTTTCCAAAGTCTTCGTTTTACACACTAACGATAACCATGCATAGAGACATACCACATGCACTGCATGTCATGAAGGTTGTTGTGTTGATCTCCATCCTTTGTGAACAATACAGCAGTTTTCTCTGCCAAAGCCACCTTCAAAAAGAAATTACATGGTGATGACGATAAAAGCTACACAAAAGTCCAAAAAGTAATAAATAATAGAAAATTCACAAGCTCCATAGGGTCTCATCATGTTCAGCCATGTTAATTTTGTGCTCTCTATATTATTATATTATTATGGACTTCGAGAAGTCAACACCAAATTATTCTCAAAACAGAAGTGCCAAAAATAGCTGCATGCTAATGGAAGTATATGCAAGATCAGCAAAGTCCGTAGATGAACTACCACAATCAAGGAACTCAGAGACTACAGCTCTCACAATAGCTGTAACGAGAAATTCCAAAGTTGCATTCAGATTCAGACCCATCCACTTACACCCTTCCTGGAGTCCATTGTCAGCGTGCTAATAAATTGACCACTGTTTCCCAGTCACTCTTCTATCTTCAAATGAAAAGGATAACATAACACAAACTTATCTAGAAAGCTCATAATTATGCAAAAAATGAACTTCATCACCTTAATTCTGGATGTAACACCAACTTAAGAGTAGCATTCTTGCTCTAAGAATGTCTGTTGAAACTGAACAAAGTGCGGCAATGCCACCCTAAAGTGCACAAACATATCCCATTCCTAGCCCCTAGAATAATGTACTCTTGCCATTCACCAAAATATTAGCACATTCACAAACCAGAACTTTGAAATTTTTGTTTCGAAATTTATTCTTTCTTAATAGAAAAAGAAATATCTATTATTTATTTGCAAGATACCAAGGGATCGATATCGAGGGGGTATTGTCCAAGACATATTACACGTGGAAATAGAATTTCAACATTAACATTTAATTGGAAGAACTTAATCGTAACATATATATACAT